TAGTTCTTTCTGTAACCTGCTAAATATGTATATTTAGCCAACCTGTCATCATATCCCCAGAGGAGACCTAGCTACAACTGACAGTGAGGAAGGAACAGATTTAGTAACTTATGGATCTGGGCACCACGTATTCTAGAGCCAATACCTCTCTGTGCCCTGATTCACAGAAGACTATGATGGTTATGAAAACGTATGACTTGCTCCTCCCTTCAACCTTTAGATTGTCATCTTGGAGACCATGATCAATGGGAAAAACTAAAAAAAAAGGACCAAACTCTAAATAAACAATTTAGCAATTGCCAAATCTGTTAAGACTCTAGGCACTATACTAAATTCTATTCATGAGTTCGCTTCTAGCAGGATCACTTATTCCACAAACATGGTTCTACATCCTTCTCAACTGGGAGATCGGGTCCTCCTAAAAACGTGAAAGGAACAAGGACCTGAACATCAGCTTGCTGCCCCGTCAAATGGTTACGTTTCACAGTTGACCCACATCAACCATGTTCAACAGGAAGTGGCCAGATGAGAGACAATGTCCCTAATTCCACAAGATTGTGTAATGAGCCTTTAACAGTGGGGAATTGTAACAGTGAAATAGCAAAAAAACTAATATAACTAACTCAATTTTTGTTTAAGTGGCCTTTCCCCATTCCTGCGCATAGGCAAGGATAATTTTAGAGCACTGAAATAATATGCAAAAACAGCAATCATGTAATTTTTAAAACTAAGTCTGGGATTAAACGGGAAGTATCTAAACAACTAACTATATTTTGTTCAAGATTTACAGCCACAGCCGTGCGCGGTGGCTCACGCCTGTAATCCCAGCACTTTGGGAGGCTGAAGTGGGTAGATCACAAGGTCAGGAGATCCAGACCATCCTGGCCAACATGGTGAAACCCTGTCTCTACTAAAAATACAAAAAGTAGCTGGGCATGGTGGCACATGCCTGTAATCCCAACTACTTGGGAGGCTGAGGCAGGAGAATCACTTGAACCCAGGAAGTGGAGGTTGCCATGAGCCAAGATCACACCACTGTACTCCAACCTGGTGATAGAACAAGACTCTGTCTCAAAAAAAAAAAAAAAAAAAAAGATTTATAGGGACATTGTGAACTGACCAAGGACAAAGAAGTTTCCAACTTCCTCTGACCTCGCTGGTGTCCACATATCTGCAGTCCTCAGTCACGTCCTGATCCAACTCCCTCCTCTTCATTTTATTCCCCTCCCATAAAAACTCTCCAGCCAACCTGAATATTTAAGATGGTGAACTAGTGTTCACCATCTTCTCAATTTTGCTGGTTTTCTATGAACCCGGTTTTCTTCCCATCAATGCTTGTCTCTTGTATCTGACTTTCTAGCAGCAAGCAGTTAAACCTGGGTTCAGTTATACTTATGCAGAAAGTAGAATAGAGAAGGAAATGGAAAACAGCTGATCCCTCCAGAAAGTGCAATATTCAACCATTAGGAATCACAGAAAAAGCAAAGAAAACCAAGGTAAGGAAACTACCAAAAAATTATACAAGAATATTTCCTAGAATTGGGGGACACAGATCTCTAGAGAGAAAGAAGGCATTGGATGCCATGAACAATAAATGAAAGCTTATCCCAACCCTCAGAATCATAATTTTTCCTTTTTTTGAGACAGGGTTTCATTCTATCACCCAGGCTGGAATATAGTGCTGCAATCTTGGCTCACTGCAGCCTCCACCTCCCAGGCTTAGTCAATCCTCCTGCCTCAGCCTCCCGAGTAGCTGGGACCACAGGCAGGCAACACCATGCCCAGCTAATTTGTTTATTTTTGGTAGAGAAATTGTTTTACTATGTTGCCCAGGCCAATCTCGAACTTCTGAGCTCAAGAGATCCGCTTGCCTCAGCCTCCCAAAGTACTGGGATTACAGGCATGAGCCACCACACCTAGCCTTTTTTTCTGAGACACTGTCTTGCTCTCTTGCTCAGGCTGGAGTGTAGTGGCCCAACCACAATTCACGGCAGCCTTAACTTCCTGGGCCCAAGTGATCCTCCCACCTCAGCCTCCAGAGTAATATGGTCTACAGATTTGTACCACCAAGGCTGGCTAATTAAAAAAATTTTTTTTGTAGAGATGGGGTCTCACTATGTTGCCTAGGCTGGTCTCAAACTCATCGGCTCCAGCCTCCTAAAGTGTTGGAATTAGAAGCATAAGGCACCGTGCCTGGACAGAATAATGAATTTGAGATCACCAGGAATGAAAATATTTGAAAGGTTCCAATGGGAAATAAAGGGTCATGTGCAAAGTCATGAAATCAGACTGTTATTAGAATTCTTGATTGCAATCAACCCCTGAAAGACATTAGAGGAATATCTACAAAATGCCAAGGGAAAATGATTATTAACCTAGAACACGATACACAGCCATATTATAAATCAAATGGGGTGAAGTAGACATTCAGGGATATGATAGGACTATGGGTTTGATCTGTTCTTCTTTAGCTCCTTTCCTTTTGGGTGAATCTTCTGTGGTCAGCTAAGGAGTAGGACCAATTTCCCAAGCTGCTCTCAATTTATTGCCTCTGATATGAACACTTTAATCCATTTACGCTATTTAATGCTAGGAATGGCAGACAAATGAACAGGTAAAAATCAGTAAATAGTGAGACGTTACAAAGTTTTTAAGAAACAATAAGATATTAGCATTAGATATTATGTGATATTTATGAGACTTTACAGTTGAAAAACTTTTTATTTATTTATTTTTTGAGACAAGGTCTCACTTTGTTGCCCAGGCTGGAGTGCAGTGGCACAATATTGGCTCACTACAACCTCTGCCTCCGGGGTTCAATAAATTCTCCTGCCTCAGCCTCCCAAGTAGCTGGGATCACAGATGCGTGCTACCACACCCAGCTAATTTTTGTAGTTTTAGTAGAGATGGGATTTCACCATGTTGGCCAGGCTGGTCTCCAACTCCTGATCTCAGGTGATCCAACCACCTCAGCCTCCCAAAGTGCTGGGATTACAAGAATGAGCCACTGTGCCTAGTCTGAAAGACTTTTAAAATGTACTTATAAGAAAGGAAAGGTCATATGGAAGGCACATGAAGGCCTAGCACATCATAGGGCCTCTGGTGGACAGAACCTAAAGTAATTCTCAAGGCTTGCTCACTTCTGGTATTTACTCCTTTGTAGAATCTTCTGATGAGTTAACAAAACCCATGACTTGTTTCTAACCAATAGAAGGTGATGAGATGTCACTCTTGTGAAGATGTCATATTACATAAGGCTCCATTTTGCAGCAGGCACACTCTGGATATAATAAAGATAAATAAATAAGATCTGGAGATCTCTTTGCTGGCTTGACAGGGTGAGGAGCATGATGAGGAAGTCGATGTGACAAGGAGTAGCTTCTAGGAACTGCAGGTGGGCTCTGGAGCTGCAGTTGGCTTATTGTCTCCTGCTCATAAATGATTATCTTACAGATGCATCAGAATGAATTCTGCCAATAACTTGAGAGAGCTTTCACAGTGGAGTTTTCCATAGTAAAGCCTACAGATAAAAACACCTTGACTCCAACCTTGGTCAACACCTTGATTCCAACCCTGTCAAAGCTTAAGTAGAGGACTCTGCTAAGGTGTACCTGGACTCTGATAGAAACTGTGGGAAGTGTGTTGTTTGAAGCTGCTAATTGGTGGTATTTTGTTATGAAGCAATAGAAAACTAGTCTAGTGTTCAATACATGTTAACTTGCATTGCCCAGGAAGACAGATCCAATATGATCTTACTTATATGTGGAATCTAAAAGTCATACTCCTAGAGCTTGTAATCCCAGAGACTCAAGAGGCTGAGGTGGGCAGATCACTTGAGCCCAGGAGTTTGAGGCCACAATGAGCTGCAGTGAGCTGTAACTGCACCGCTGCACTCCAGCCTGGGCAACAGAGCAAGGCCCTCTCTCTAAAAAACAATTAAAAAGTCTTTTTTGTTCCATTGTCTGGATGCGCCACAGTTTATCCATTCACCTACTGAAGAACATCTTGGTTGCTTCCAAGTTTTGGCAATTACGAACAAAACTGCTTACAAACACCTGTGTGCAGGTTTTTGTGTGGACATGAGTTTCCAGTTCTATTGAGTAAATAGTAAGGCTCATGATTGCTGGATGATTTGTTAAGAATATGTTTGATTTTGTAAGAAACTACCACTGTCTTCCAAAGTGGCTATACCATTTTGCATTCCCACCAGCAATGAACAAGAGTTGCTCCTGTTGTTGCACATCCTCACCAGCAGGATGTTTTGTGGTGTTAGTGTTTTAGATTTGGGGAATACTAATAGTGACATCTCACTGTTGCTTTCATTTGTAATCCCCTAATAACTTATGATGTCAAACATCAGTTCACATGCTTTTTTGCCATTTGCATATCTTCTTTGGTGAAGTGTTTAGTCTTTTACTCATTTTAAAATTAGCTTGTTTTCTTGTTGCTGAGTTTTAAGAGTTCTTTGTTTATTTTTGGACACATTTTATCAGACACGTCTTTTGCAAATATCTTCTCCCAGCCTGTCACTTGTCTTCTTATGCTCTTGATAAAAGTAATTTTAGGGAGTATAAATATTAAGATTTACATCTAATTCATTTGAATCCAGAAAATTTTATGGCGGTCTAAATGTTTAACATTAAATAATACTGAATAATAATCAATGTTCACATATTTATGACACTTAGTATTACTTCTTTTAAGCTGGGAGTCTTGCTATATTATTCTTATAATTTAGTAACATTACTACTGATTTTTTTCAATTATGTATAGATATAGCTCACAGAAATAACATTAGTATTAAGGAGGAATATATTTGACTCAAACAATATATTAAATATTGCAACTAAATTGTTTAAATAGAATGCTAGCCCCATTGGGTGAAAGATACACATCAATATCATGCTATAAATATTATTTTAAAAACACACAATGTGTTGTTCAGATTTAATTAATATATCATATTTTATTATATGCCAGTATATGAGGAAGAATAAATATCCACTTGGTATAAAGTTTATTTGCATGTGTAAAAAGTATATATGACAGGAAACCCCTTAAAATAAAAACATAATAAAGTTTTAGGAAAAAGATGAACTTTAAAAATTGGTTGCTTTTTTCAGATAATGAAAATACTGACATATGTCTACTGAATTACCTTAAACTGTTGCGGTGTTAGAGAAACATTTTTAAAAAAACAAAAAAAGTTGGAGGAGACACACAATATAGAAGAATGAAGGTACTGATTTATGTCACACTTTTCTTTTTCTCTTTTTTTTTTTTTTGAGACAGAGTTTCACTCTTGTTACCCAGGCTGGAGTGCAATGGCACGATCTCGGCTCACCACAACCTCCGCCTCCTGGGTTCAAGCAATTCTCCTGCCTCAGCCTCCCAAGTAGCTGGGATTACAGGCGCGCGCCACCATGCCCAGCTAATTTTTGTATTTTTAGTAGAGACGGGGTTTCGCCATGTTGATTGACCAGGATGGTCTCGATCTCTTGACCTTGTGATCCACCCGCCTTGGCCTCCCAAAGTGCTGGGATTATAGGCCTGAGCCTTGTCACACATTTTAAGATGATTACATCGACAGAATTGACAAAAGAATCAAATGCTTTAAAAATACAGAAATGCTAGACATTCCCCTAATAGTGTTAATGGCATACATAACATTCCAAATCAAATAACTAATAAAAATTAATTCACATTCAATTAAAACCAAAACAATATGAGTAATATAAAATTGAGTTTTTGTTAAGCACTGACAATCTTTTAGTGTTAAAAAGTCTCTTGTACATTTAGGAGGATTATGCACGTATAAATTATCTGAGAAGTAGAAAAATATGGATTAGTATTTTAGAGGCAAACTTGAAACCAAAGACATCGAAGATACTGTTGCTCTGCAGTTTTTAATTGTTCTAAGAGTTTTCTCTATGTATTTGCTCAGAGGGTGCATCATTAACAGATGCAAACTTGGGGCCCGGCATGGTGGCTCATGCCTGTAATCCCAGCCCTTTGGGAAGTTGAAGCGGGCAGATCACCTGAGTTCAGGAGTTTGAGACTAGCCTGGCCAACTCAGTGAAACCCCCGTCTCCACTAAAAATACAAAAGTTTGCCAGGTGTGGTGGCAGGTGCCTATAATCCCAGCTACTCGGGAGGCTAAGGCAGGAGAATCTCTTGAGCCTGGGAGGCAGAGGTTGCAGTGAGCCAACCTCCTGGTCACTCTACTGCACTGTAACCTGGGCTACAGAGCAAGACTCTGTCTCAAAAAAAGATGCAAAAGTTTGACACAGCAGGCTGGCATGGTGGCTCATGCCTGTAATGCCAGTACTTTGGGAAGCTGAGGTGGGTGGATCACTTGAGCTCAGGAGTTGGAGACCAGCCTGGGCAACAATTTTTGTAGGAACCCTGTCTCCACAAAAAAACACAAAAATTAGCCAAGTGTATTGGCATGCACCTGTAGTCCCAGCTACTCAGGAGGCTGAGGTAGAGAACTGCTTGAGCCCTGAAGTTCAGGCTGCAGTGAGTTGTGACTGGGCCACTGCGCTCCAGCCTGGGTGGCAGAGTAAGATCTTGTCTCAAAAAATTAAAAATAAAAAAATAAAAATGCTTTGACACAGTCAAAGTTTGTGACCTTTTTAATTTTTTTTCATTATCAAAAGAAAATATTCTACATGGAATTGTCTATCCTACCGAAGGTATAGCCTTGTAAATGTGTATTTGTCTTTTTCAAGTCCAGTTCTCCTTTTATATCCATATTTCACTGATTTCTTAATTGTAATAAAGTGGAAAACAGATCTAATTATATATAAAACCTGTATCAAAATAGATTTAATGATTAACACTAATCAATTGCTGGGAGATGAAATACAAACAAAACAGATAAATCAAACAAAACAACAAATTTACCACCAAACTTAGAACAGGAATAGAAAATGGTGAAAGCGATAGAAATACATTGACTGCTCAATCATTACAAGCATTTTTAAATAAGTTTTATCATATTTTCCTTTTTATATTTAAAGTATCATTATCTCCACATTGGATACTCTATAAATATCACAATCCTAATGATGGATTCTAGACTCATTCAAGTTAATACGACTGTTTTATACAAAATGATAGCAGTAGACAACTCTAGGCAGCTGCTTGGGTGGGGTGGGGTTGTCACAGGTTCTGAAGCTAGCTTTGTAGTTAGAATTTTGAGAGTCAAGAGAAGTAAATGAGTTCATGGGATATTTCAAAATATGACTCAGTAAATGATACATATATATCTTATAATTCTATTCATCATAAATATTTTTCATATGTATATGAGAATATATATAAATATATGTAACATGTACGTATATAAATGTATGTATAGATGAGAAATGCTTGTAAGTTCCTGTCCCAAACTTAGAATTACATACAAGATTCCTGAATTTCATAATTTGAGGCAGTATAATTTTATAGGCATGCCATGGGACTCGAAAAGTGTGCTCACTCATTCTAAACCCAGTTGTCACCAACTTGCTAGATTTTGGACAAGTTATTCTTTTATGCCTTGGTGTGATTATTGCAAAGTAGAATTTGCCTGTAACCCTTTAAAGAGGATTAAAATAAGTGCAAAGTCACATGAGCAAAAGTGCTTATGTAAAGCCAAGACACAACTAATAGCAAGATTTTTATATGCAATATGGGTAACTTTTAAAATCAAGTTAGATTTCTTAATTAAACATAAATGTTGCTAGATGATCTATTTGCAACAAGCAACAAAGAGACCAAGAATCTAAAAGGATAAAGTCTTTAGCAGTCTGTAATGATTAAGGACTTAAGCTTTTATTTGCCTTAAGATGATGCATCTTAAAAGAGAGACATACATTCACACATGCACTGTCATATGATTTATATTTTCTAGACATTTAATTTGGTAGAAATTATCAAACATGTGGATTTGCAGTCTCACTCCTGTAAAAATTATAAAACAAAATAAATAATGATCATTTTTATAAATGATCCTAAATGATAAGAAAATTTAATGCCTGGCAAAAACATAAAGCACATACTTTTCTATTCTGTTTTTCAGGAGTATGTTATTTCCTGAGCTCCTGGAAGAGGAAACAAATTTACATATACCTACATATCCACCCAGGTAAATTTGTGTGCACAAACTCCAGAAATTTACAGCTTATATGCTACTACATTCTTAAGGAAATATTGGTTATACATATTATTTAGAAGACTAGACAAAGAATGGGTTTAAATGATTATGGTGTTTTCCTGTTGTGTTCAGACATATTAAGAGATGCAAAAAAGTTTATGGTAACATTAATCAATATTATTTTAAGAGCAGAAAAGCAAATTACTTTTTTCAGATTCTCAAACTATTTACGAAGTTCAACAAATTTCAAAATAATCATATGTAGTTATATATATGATAATTTTGCAATGAAGATGGGAGTGTTTACTAATCAGTAATAGGGGCAACTTCATTAATTCTAGTGTCTCCTAGATTTGTGGTCTGTTTATTTGATAGCATAACAACCCTTGCAAATCCTTTTCATTGCAACCTTATATCCTCTGAAGAACTAACTTCATAGCAAATAGTATTTTTTAGAACAAGAAAACTACTGACCCCACTACCTATAATAACACATTACTGACAGCACGAGTTAAGATCTAAACCCAGCAAAATATGATGATTGCTATGCAATAATTTAACATATAAAACCAAGTGATTATATTAAGGTCACAGATTTATACTGAAATGCCAAATTCTGTGAAGTATTTCTAACTCCTCCAAAAAAAACCTAAGAAAGAGTAGGTCCAATATCCTAACTGGATAATCTTTTTTTTTTTTTTTTTTTTTTTTTTGAGATAGAGTCTGACTCTGACGTCCAGGCTGTTGTGCCATGGTGCAATCTCACCTCACTGCAACCTCTGCCGCCTGGGTTCAAGGGCTTCTCCTGCCTTAGCCTCCCCAGTAGCTGGGATTACAGGCACCCACAATCATGCCTGGCTAATTGTTTTTGTATTTTTATAGAGATGGGGTTTCACCATGTTGGCCAGGCTGGTCTCAAACTCCTGACCTCAGGTGGCCTCCCAAAGTGCTGGGATTACAGGGGTGAGCTCCTGCTCCTGGCCTGACTTTGGATAATCTTAATGGTTAGACATTCTTGCTTTTTTAATATTCAACACAAGAAATCTATAACCTTTATCTGTACAAAGGATGCAAAGAGTTCACTAATTCTACCTATGCTCTTTATAACAAATATTTTTTTTTGAATCACTAAAACGAACATTACAAAAATGTGCTTTATTCTTAACTGCAAGGATATAGAGTCAGAAAGTCTCTTATCAAGCTGATAATGATCAAGTTCAGGTTCAAGATGCAGACAGAGCTTCCATGGTACAACACATGGCTTATTCTTCTTTTATTCCTTGCAGTTTGTCATAAAAAGCGGAGACATGTCTTTTTTGGTTCAGGGAGAACAAACCATTCAAATAACATGAATTTCTTCTTCTTCTTCTTTTTTTTTTTTATTTTTTGAGATGGAGTCTTGCTCTGTTGTCCAGGCTGGAGTGCAGTGGTGCAGCAATTTCGGCTCACTGCAACTGGCACCTCCCAGATTCAAGCAATTCTCCTACCTCAGCTCCCCGACTAGCTGGAAGTACAGGCATGTGCTGCCACGCCTGGCTAATTTTTGAATTTTTAGTAGAGATGGGGATTCACCTGTTGGCTAGGCTGGTCTCAAACTCCTGGCCTCCCAAAGTACTGGGATTACAGGCATGAGCCACCATGCCCGGCCTATCAAATAACACAAATTTCTTATACCAAGATGGCGAGGTAGTCAGTGAGATGGAAGAGACATAGATTTTTTAAATACCCTGAATCCTTTTGTGGGCCCAGGGTATGGTGGTGGTGGCGAAACACTGTGTTTTCTGGTCAGTGCCACTGCCTGTTCGTAAGAAGGTAACCCTGTGTCCTCCACAGAAGGCGGCAATGGAGACAAAGCAGCCTCCTCAGGTCTTCTGAAAATGATGGAGGGAGTGTGCCTACCCCTTTCATAGATGGCTGAAGAGCTAAGCAGAGAGACAACATTTAGGTCCAGGAAAGGTAGCAGTTTTAGTTTGAGATGACAATAATTAAAAATCCAGCTATCTTTATAAACATTAAACACAATGTATTAACACAACAGTTTTATTTTACCCCCAGACTCTGACAGTCTTGGTACAGTGGGAAGACCAAGAGCTTTGAAATCAGACATGGGTTTGAAATCTGATCCTGTCATTTCCTAGCTATGTGACCAAAGACAAGTTACCTACCTCAATTTTGTCCTCTCTAAAATGGGGCTAATAATAGCTATCTCAATAGAGCATGTTTGTGTGGATTGAGTAAGATGCATGGAAAGCTTCTGGCCGTGTCTGGTGCACTAGAAAGGACTCAAAACAAGTGAATTTCCTTTTCTCTTACTCCTGGATTAAAACTTTTTGAAAGTATGATGCGAAACCAAATCCAGGCTTTGTTGAAAGGTGGCGCCATTCCAGCCCAAGGAAATAGATGTCACAGATGTAATCACAACAGGCTGATGCCTGTCCCTCTCCTCCGTTCCCTCCTGCAGTCCTGCTGCCTGGCCAATCCTTCCTAAACAATACTTTCTTCATGTCACTCTTCTCCTCAGAAGCCAAACCCACAGCGTACTTCCGGCTGAGGCAAGTTCTAACTCCTGTGCCTCCTCTTCAAAGCCTCTCTTATTGCGGCTGCACCTTAGTTTTTACAGCTCTCTACTCTACCAAGTCAGTTTCTTTACACTCCTCTATATGGTCAGTTAAGTTCTCGGCCCTCTCTGTGCTTTCACTGGTATTGTTCCCTTTCTTGAAATATTATCTTTTCTCCCCTCTGCTTTGACCTAAGCCTAACACTTTAAAAAAATATATGTGGCTGAAATATATATTTTTCACCATTTTCACAAAACCTTGTCAGCCGGTGAAATGCAACATGGGTCTGGGGTCTATTTTATTATTTTATTTTATTTTAGACAGCGTCTCACTCTGTTGCCCAGGCTGGAGTGCAATGGCGTGACCTTGGCTCATTGCAACCTCTGCCACCCCACCGGGTTCAAATGATTCTCTGCCTCAGCCTCCCAAGTGGCTGGGATTATAGGTGCCCGCCACCATGCCGGCTAATTTTTTGTATTTTTAGTAGAGACAGTGTTGCTCCATCTTGTCCAGGCTGGTCTTGAACTCCTGACCTCGTGATCTACCTGCCTCAGCCTCCCAAAGTGCTGGATTACAGGTGTGAGCCACTGTGCCTGGAGGGTCTGGGGTCTTAAATCTATGGTTTTCCTTTCTCACTCGTGAAGTGCAAATTATGATTTAAATGCTAAGAAATTGATCTGTTTAGACTTGAAGTTGGCTGTTTATAAAAGATCTATACATACGTTGACCTCCTATAGTTATGGCTAATGAAATAATTAAAATGCATAGGGGGATACATAAACCATTCTCCATGATGTGCTTATTTCACACTGCATGCCTGTATCAAAACATCTCATGTGCCCCATAAATATATATCCCTACTATGTACCCACACAAAAAGGAAGGAAAAAATGCATAGATAACCCCTAACTTCTAGTCAATATTTACAGTATTACCATCAAGAAACAGTTTAGCAGGCTCAAAATACTGCCAACTTTTCCAAATTAAATCAGTCAATATGTCTCTTAGAGCACTTTTTTTCCTTTTGAGACAATAATGAGATCTGAATTAGAGAGAAGAAGAAAGAAAAATTGCAGAGAAAGAAGAAAAGCAAAAGGTCTGTGTAAATCCAGGAACTGGATAATCGGCCCTTCAACAGTTGAGAGGTGACTGAGAGGATCACAAGTTTACTTAGAGGGCTCAGCACAATTCCTCCTCTGTCAGAATCTGGAATGCATTCATGGTAGGCAGTCTCTTGCCACAGTCATTAGCTCGTGACAAAAAGTTCAATTTGTTTGCTTATAGGATAAAGGAGGAGACAGCTATTTTATTTGAATAAATAAATTCTTCCATGTTGACTTTCAAAATTTAATGTATGGAAACAATGTAATAATTACATCAGTTATTAAATATCTACAGTGTTTTCTTACACATCTCAATCTTACATGACCGAAGTCAGAAAGTATGTACTAATAACATCTCAAACTGGCAACATCCCATGATGCCTGTTTTCCTCCACAAAATAGAGCAACTAGGAAATGAAAAGGTCTTGTTTTTCATTTATTGGCTTTTTTTTTCTTTTTTCTTTTTCTTTTTTTTTTTTTTGAGACGGAGTTTCGCTCTTGTTACCCAGGCTGGAGTGCAATGGCACCATCTCGGCTCACCGCAATCTCCACCTCCTGGGTTCACATAATTCTCCTGCCTCAGCCTCCTGAGTAGCTGGGATTACAGGCACGCGCCACCATGCCCAGCTAATTTTTTGTATTTTTAGTAGAGACAGGGTTTCACCATGTTGACCAGGATGGTCTTGATCTCTTAACCTCGTGATCCACCTGCCTCGGCCTCCCAAAGTGCTGGGATTACAGGCGTGAGCCACTGCATCTGGCTGGCTTTTTTTTTTCTTTTTGCAATGGAGTTGCACCCCTGTTGCCCAGGCTGGAGTACAACTGTGTGATCTCAGCTCACTGCAACCTCCGCCTCCTGGGTTCAAGTGATTCTCCTGCCTCGGCCTCCCAAATAGCTGGGGTTGCAGGTGCCCGCCACTAATTTTTATATTTTTTTAGTAGAGATGGGTTTTCACCATGGTGCCCACCCCTGGCTAATTTTTACATTTTTTTAGTAGAGATAGGGTTTCACCATGTTGGCCAGGCTGGTTTTGAACTCCTGACCTTAGGTGATCCACCCATCTTGGCCTCCCAAGGTGCTGGGATTACAGGCATGAGCCACCATGCCCGGCCTCTTGGCTTGCTTTTATAGAGGAATGAGGCAAGCTTTTCTGGCAATGATCTTATTTTTTACTCTCTTCTTTCTCAGCTTCTTTCTCCCTCCCCCTACTTTCAGATTTGCAAAATATAGAAACAAATAATTCTGCTGGAAGAATTTCTTGGGACAATAGATGAAAAGTACTTTAGTATTTACAAGTTAATCCTAATGTAAGAGAATGTCTAGTAAACCTAGTTTGGAGTATCCCCTGAAACTCAGAGAGTTGCTGGGAGGAACAAAGTGAGACAATGAATGTAAAGATGATCTGTGCACTAGAAGCATTACACTGTACTAGTGTTAAGTACAACGAATTGCACTTTTAAAATAAAAGGTATCCAGGGTTTGAAATTTAATAACGCACACGGAAGACATGTCATCATCACAGGCATAATACTCCCTGTATTTGAACTCTGCTTCTATCCCTTATGCAGGGAAGAAGCAAGGAACGTTTCAGGGGAAAAACAAGGCAAAAGGTGAAAAGACATAGTAATGCAGAGAAGTCGGAAACTGAAGAAAAGCAGGGTAGAGAAGAAAGTGTAAGCATGAGGACACTAAATAATGACTGTGCTATTCACAGACATTGAGTGAAACTAATATATGAGGACATACATGAACTTTTCTGGAAAAACATTGTGAATGAGGTAAAAAAGAAGAAAAGAAGAACCTCCAAAGACAAATTTTTTGCCTATTTCTTCATTATCTTGTGGATTCCTCCCAGCTTGTGGAGAAAGTCACATTTAATAAAATCTTAGTGAAAAGTCTTAGAAAGACCTTGTGCATTTTCTGTCTGCTATTAAGGAAATTAATAGAGGTCTGTTAAACAAATTAAACAAATTCTTTCTTACTTTCTCTAAGCTCTCAAATTTTTATAGGCTTTATAGGGACAAACTCCTTAATCCGTGCCCATAATTCACATAATACCTTAGGGAACTTTCCAGCATAGGGCTAGAATGACCATTTATGTTCCTCTGCTATCTTTGCTGGGAGCTCCTCTTCTTTCTGTATCCTTATTGTGGGCATTCTTTAGGGCTCTGTCCTTTTTCCCTTCTGTCCCTTTATTTTATTTATCTATTTATTCATTTATTTATGTTGAGAGAGGGTCTCACTCTGTCACCAGGGCTGCAGTGTGGGGTCACAATCGCGGCTCATTGCAGCTTCAATCTCTCTGGCTCAATCAATTCTCGCTCCTCAGCCTCCTGAGTAGCTGGGATTACAGGCACCCACCATCATGCCCAGCTAATTTTTGTATTTTTAGTAGAGATGGGGTTCCACCATGTTGGCCAGGCTGGTCTTGAGCTCCTGACCTCAGGTGTTCCACCTGCCTTGGCCTCCCAAAGTGCTGGGATTACAGGCATAAGCCACCACACCCAGCCAAATTCTTACCCTTCCTTTTTTTGTTTTCCAAGTAAAAAGACTGTGTGGCTCATAAACACACACATATATTATATGCAACATATAACATTATAATATAAAACATTACATTTTCAATGTTAATCATTCATAAATATACATTTCAGTGGTATTCCACTCACAAGGTGCAACCATCTCCATTATCTATTTCCATAACCCTTTCATCACCCCAAAGAAAAATTCTGTACATAAGAAGCAATAACTCCCGATTCCCCTTGCTATGGTTTGAATGTTTTTGTCCTCCTCAAAACTCATGTTCAAACTTAATCCTCAATGCAACATTATTAGGAATTGGGGCCTTTTGGGAGACTTTTAGATCGTGAGGTCCCTGCCCTCATAAATGGATTAATGCTGCTGTAAGAAGGGGTTGCAGGAGTAGTGCCCTCTCTTTCTTCTGCTTTTCTGCCATTTGAGGAACAATGTTCCCCCCTCTGGAGGATGCGGTGTTCAAGGCACCATCTTGGAAGCAGAAGCTGGGTCCTCATGAGGCATACAATCTGCTGGTACCTTGATCTTAGACTTCCCAGCCTCCAGAACTATGAGAGAGAAATTTCTGTTCCTTATAAATTACCCAGTCTCAAGTATTCTGCTATAGCAGCACAAATAGACTAAGACATCCCTATCCTCCCAGGCCAAGATTATCTCTAAACTACTTTTTGTCTCTGTGAGTTTGCCTATCCTAGATATTGCCTATCCTAGACATTTTATATCAA